CAAATTATATCACTTATCATATCAATGTATTAGGAGCGTCACAAGGCTATATTTGTGATTCCTTTCTTTTCTTGTAAAAACTGCATTTTATTACAAACTTGTTTATTACTTCGATCGACCAAATAAAATGAAATATAAGCCAACAGTTCTTAACTTCATGTAGAATAATATATTTTAACACAAAAGCTTCTGATTTCCACACGAACAAATATTAACTTACAAAATAGACGTAATATACGAGACGACTATCTTGCACTGAAAATAGGTTCGGCGTCGACAGTTGGCTGAGTTCTCCGAGTATATTTGAGAAGTATAGCTTCTGCAGAAAGTCCTGGCACTCTTAGATCCCTATAAAATGACATCATCAACAACAATTAGGAGAAGCTGCTTATATAAAGTATGTACAAATACTAGACAGATTAGGGCCTTGCTACATATATACCCCCTCACAAGGTGTCAACCCTGGTGTACAAATAGAAAAACCCGACAGATTATGCAAGTAATACAGAACTTGTTCAAATTAACAGAAACAGACCTGACATATGGCTGTAGATCCTTCCATTCCCACTTTTGCCTCTCCCGGAATAGTATTTTAAAACGCTCAGCAGGGGTTGACGGGAGTGAGGATACGCTGAAATGGTAAATTAGAGTCTCTATCCCTAGCTTTTCTGTTAGAACTTCCCCTTCCAACATGTCAAAACTTGCATGCATACCATCAGGAACCTTTCGTATCCATTCTGCCATAAATTTTTCCACTTTCATCTTACCGCTTTTCAAGATTTCTCTTGCAAAGTGCACACAAATGCGCCTCTCCTCCAACTGCCACACACAACTTCCACCAACATGCTCTTCCACCTTATTACCATAGACTTTCAGGCAATGCATTGCAATATTGCAAGGAAACCCATCTGTTTCTAATGCACGCAGAACTTCATCTTCATTAAGTGCATTAAAGGACCAATCATTCAATATTACGTCATGCAGAAGAATGTTCAGAATCATATCCATGTATTTGTCATCCAAAACTCGCCAGTATCCATAAATTTCAACGGCTGAAAGGGCTTGTAGTCCAGACCTTAGTTCCTCATTGCTAGCTTGTACCTCGTCGACAAGATTGTCCCAGCTGTATAAGCCTGTATTCATTCTCTCATGAGAGATATCCATGTCTGAAGCCTCGTCAAAACTATAAGGATTTTGGGAGAGGAGAAATTTAAGTTTATCTAATTTAGGTGCAACCTCAACAACTTCCATAATGCCTGGTGCAACTTTGAAAACCGCTGCAACCGGTATGGTTATATCATTACATTCTTTCACAGCTTTATCTGAAGGAGGTATAAGTAATACAGAGTTGGATGTCCCCACATATTTAAGGGCATAGGTTTTTGACTGAGTACAAAGAACTGCATCTTCATCAGGCTGTCCTCTTATAGTTACTCTATTGAATAAATAAGAATAAGATGAAAATGACGTATGGATAAACTATAGGATCAAATAAAATAGCCTCAACAAGAATAAAATAAAACTACATACCTTTGCTGAAGGATATCGGGGATGAGAGTTTCGTCAATTTCGAGGAGTGTTATGTCATTGTGGGAACCAAAAAGGGAGTGATAAGCAATAGACATTGTTGAGTTGGGTTGGAGGCCAAGTACTGCTTCCGCACCTCCAGTACTTCGCAGTCCTAGATGTTCCATATCCATATTTCACTTCCTCTTTTCTTTATCAATGAGCACGAGAAGGAAAAAGATTAAAGTGCACAAATTTTCTCCTCCTTTTCTATTTCACATCTCATCCCTCACCTCTGAAAAGAAAAAGATAAAGGAGTAAATCCTTGAAACATGTAATGATAGATAAAAATCTTCCCTTGGTGAAAAATCTTCACAGCGAATAACTAAAACCAGTAAATGCAACTCCTAGCTCCCATCTACACAGATTCACACATCTGATGTTGTCTTCTCGATAGCATTTCTCCAACTCCAGTACCCTAGATCTTGCCATATCAGAAAAGTGCACAGGCACTAGACAGATTAGGTCCTTAATAAAATACCTTAATTTTTTAAATGTTGATCCTTCTAGAATGAAGAAAATGCTCTTATCTTATAATGAATATAAAACAACGATCAATTGCAACTTAAACAAACCAATAAATTACCCAAAAGAAGAAGTTCATTTTTCAATTTAGGAGAGTGTCCATGATAGGCTGACCTGATCCACCTCAACCCAATGTAAGTTTTAAGTTTATTGAGCTTAATTTTTTACAAGTTATGTTTTCTTGTGAAAAATAACCCTACATTGTAAGAACACAATTCAATTTATTCTTAGAATGTTCAATTTGGCCATCAAACGGCCACACCATTGGTGTCTTTTTCGCATTGTAGATACAAACACACAAATAACAACTTAAAGCCTAAAAGGGCAGCATCACAAGTGAACATAGTAAAGTTAGTAAATTGACTAGATAATATGACTTGAATGAATTGTTAAAACGCAAAAGAATACAAGATTCGTGGAATAAATATTTGAATTGCTATATTTTCAAACATTTTCGTAATCTGTCTTTCAATTTTTTATTTTTGGCCTTATCATGCCGACATGGTTTACTTTTTACCAGATTTTCGAATATAAGATCCCCAGTTCCTTCTAAAATAAACATGTGTTTTTGTCTTCCAATAATTGTATCCAGTTTTCCTGATTGATGAATGCTTCAAAGAGCATCATCTCTCCCACTTAATGTAATATTACTTCAGAAACCAAAAGTTACTAAAAAGAAGTTGTTAATTAATTTGCGCACTAGCTTTTTTTCATTTATGAACTTACAAATTTTAGATTAATGAACTTACAATACGGCCAATTCCATAAATGATACCGTGAGAAAGAATAAAGTTTAAAAAAACAAAATAATAAAGAACGATAAACAAAAAATTTCCCTGTTTCTAGTGTACAGAACCAATTTGCACAGAAAAAAATAATCCCAAATAATTATAACCCTAAAACTAACTAGAAGCAGGACAAGCAAGTCCTCCAACAGATCAGTAAAAGAATTCAGAATTACAAATACTAAAAATGAAGAAGATGAAGAAGTCTATTCCAATGGCAATAAATTCAGGTCGTAAATCAAATCAAAGAGGATAAAAACAAATTCACGATAAAGAAAACCAAAAGAAGTTTTTAGGAAATCTATGAAATTACCTCAATAACGCCAGTGCTTACGAGACCCCATTTTCGGTGTGGATTTAGCGTTGAAATGGAGGGAAAATGGAAATACGGCGGACTTTGGAGGGATTATGATTTTCTAGTGGTTTTTTAGCCTAAAAAATCTGGAGGGAAATGGGCACGTAGAAAATTATCCTAGCCCTGTTTGGGCTCGCTTTTTCAAAATATATATTTTTTTCTTTTCTTTTTAATTAAATATTTTGTAATAAGATAATATTACACGTAAATTTAATTTTTTTTTAATCACACGTTCTTAGAAAAATTACTATTCAAAAATGAATAATGTTATTTGTATATAATAAAATTACAAAATTGTTTACATATAGATGAAATGTCAAAAGTGGATTGGAGAAGTTTTTTTTTTTAGTTGAAGAAATTATGATCCAATCATATTTCATCACATTATATATATGTAAATCATCGTGCATATGTAGCACAACTGATTTCAAAATACATTTTTTTCTCAAAATATAATTTTATAGGAGTCCAAACAATGGCCAGATTTCATTGGACGAACGAATTATTATTAATGACATTGGTGGATTTATTTATTTATAAATCAACTATATTAAGAGTTTGTTTGGGAGTGATTTTGAGAATTGATTTTTTGACTGTTACAAGAAAAGTGAAATCCACATGTGAGAGAAGAAATCAAATATGACAGTTGGAATAATGAAATAACAATCAAAAAATCAATTTTTTTGGAAAAAAAATTACTCCCAAACAAACTCTAAACCTTTTGGCCATTATTTGATAATTCCTTTTTATATACTTGTTTTCAACCCACACATTTACACAATAAAATATTCTGCACATAAATTCAAAATTTTTTGGTTAATGATAATGAATAAAGTTGGACGAACAGGGTCAATGACCACCATTATTGATAGGGATTTAAATGCGTTGACATGTCCTCTTGAATTGTTAGAACAGTCCCGCTACACGAACAAGGACTGAAAACAGGACTAAGTTCCAGACTCATGTGGCAACATTTGAAAAAATATAAAATAATAATTTGCTCATTGCTCGCACGTGAGGCACCATTGGTATTCCATTTCCCCCCAAATATTACCCCTTCCATCTTCACCCATTTCGACGATCAGTCGAAGGTAACGCCGTGACTCCGGCAGCACTTCCACCGACGGTTTCGCCACCTCACGTTTCAACATCTCCCGCCACACCTTGGTGGAAGGTTCAGTCGTCGCTCCGACAGCTCATTCGTGAAAGGTTTCGCCAACACACACATGAAGATCTCTAGCCGGCGACGAACATCAAACCACATCTAAGAATCTTGTTTTCTTTAGGGTTGTGTTCAATGCGGTTGAATTTGTTAGAAATAATGTTACTCCACCAAAGATGAGAACGAATTACAAATAGAAAAATTATCGAAAGAAGTATAGGAGATGAACA